GAAGAATAATTAAAGATTAAGTGCTCCCCGATACGAACATAAACTGTCGATGACACTCCTGAAAAAAAGAAAAAAAAAATTCTCTGACACAAGTTTAAACTGTCTCTCAAGAAGAAGAAAAAAAAAATGATACTCCTTGACACAAGTATAAAATCTCTACCTAAAAAAAAAACACAAAAACTCTTTGGAGCTGCAAATATGGCAAAGTGTGCTCATCGCATGATATCAATGGTGTTCGCCGCTTTAATCAACTTGGCTTACTGTCAAGATATTGTTGTCGCTCGTCACAAGGTATCAAAAGGTTTCGCTATAATTTGTCAACTTAGCTTTCTGTCATGATGTTGTCACTCATCGTGCAATATCAAAAGAGCTCGTCACACCCTGTCAACTTGGCACGCCACCAAAGTGTAGCTGCTAAGGAACTTTTGGTCTGTCACCAAATTGTAGCTGCAAGAAAGAAATTAGGCCCGCCGCCAAAATGTAGCTACAAACAATAATTTTGGTTCGTCGCCAGAGTTGTAGCTGCAAAGGAAATTTTGATCCATTAACAAAGTGTAGTTGTAAAGAATAATTTTACTTCGTCACCAGAATGTCGTTGCAAAAGAAAAGATTTTCGATTCACCATCAAGGTGTCGCTAAAAAAAAAATTGACTTGCTGTCAAGGCGTCGCTGAATAATCCGATTCGTCGCGATATCACTGGAAAGAGAAAATATTGGTTCGCCACTAGAGTATCGTGCAGAGGTTGGTTCGTCGCTGAGGTGTGGCTAGAAAAAATAAATAAAATTACTTGGAGCCAAGGCGTCACTAAAGAATCCGATTCATCGCTAAGGTGTTCCTGCAAAAAAATTTTGACTCACCACCGAGCTGTCATTGAAAGAAAAAAAAAATTTTTGCTCGCCGTCGAGGTGTTGCTAAAAGAGAAGTTTGGTTTTCCGTCGAGGTGTTACTGAAAGAGAAATTTGACTTGCCGCCAAGGTGTCGCTAAAGAATTTGGTTCATCGCCAAGGTGTTGCTACAACAAAATTTTGACTCACCGCCGAGGTGGTGTTGAAAAAAAAAAATCTGCTCGCCACTGTGGAGTTGCTAAAAGAGAAATCTGGTTTTCCATTGAGGTGCTACAGTCAAGGAAAATTCATTGCGTCGTCAAGGTATTGCTGAAGTAAAAAAAATAAAAAAATAAAAAATACCACACAGAGGCATAAGAATGCAAGCTTCGTCTATCACATCCTTACAGCATCTGCAACAACTTCTCGTCCTGGTTCTTGTAGCCCGAGTGTCATGGATCGGTCCTCTTCTCAAATTGGTCAGCATGTGTGTTTACAAATTGTGGTTCCTTGGCTTTTTCGATCACTTTCGCTCTTTAAGATAGTCACCTTTTGCTTTGTAAAACACTTAAATACGACCCTGATGGAACAACAAACAAAATTCGAAACTAATCGGTGTTGTTTGAGATAAAGACTCAATTTATGCTTTGATTGACAAAATTTTCGTCAATACTTCTGAAAGATTTTTGCAGAATCCTAAAAACAAAAACAAAAAAAAATTCAAAACTCCTGTGCGTGGATCACATGAAAAAAAATAATAAAAAATAAAAAATAAAAAAAATTTGATCCTGTGCGTGGATTACATGAAAAAAATAAAAATCTTGTGCGTGGATTATATGAAAGGAAAGAAGACAAGACGAAAAAAAAAAAACAAAAAAAGAAGAAGAAGCAAGCATAAAAAAAATATGTACAAATTATTTGCTCAGGCCGAGGTTGCAATCCAAAACAGTCTTCAGAGGCTGTAATCTAACAAGTCTTCAAAGGCTATTAGAATTGATGTCAAACCCTATGACATGGGTGGTATATATAGGCAACAAAATACCTCATATTTGTAATAGGATTTGTATAATTCAATTCAAATTGGAAAGTGAAGAATTACAATCCAATGTTGGATAGAAAAGGGAAAAAGGAAATTTTACAATCTAAAGTTGGATAAAAAAGCGAAAAAGGAAATTTTACAATCTAAAGTTGGATAGAAAAGCGAAAAAGGAAATCTTACAATCTAAAGTTGGATAGAATAGCGACAAAAAAAAAAAGAAGAAATTTTATAATTCAAAGACAAAGTTGGATGCTTCAAGTCCCACTTGAAATAGAAGACAAGTCTGGTGCAAAGCAGGACTCGAAGGGGGGGCAATTTGTAAGCACTAAAATTTCATGAATTTTTATTTTGACAAATTGACCCATCAAATATGGGTCTCATGTTTAATTAAATTATTTAATTGGCTCAAACTTGGTCAATTTAAATTATTTAATTAGCCCAGCCCAGGTGATTAAATAAAAAAATAATTATTCTTAATAAAATATATTTAGAATAATTATTTTTATAGATAATTAACACAATATAACCAGCCCAGTTATAATTATGTCCTTATCAAGAAAGGACACATGTCATCATCCTATTAATCTAAAAAGCTTATAAATAGATGCATGGAGGAAGAAGGAGGTGTGCAAAAATTCGGGGGCCAGAAATTCAGAGAGTTCAAAAATTCAGAGATTCAGAAATCCAGAGAGGCATAAATTCAAAGACATGGAAGTCTAAAATTAAAATACAGAATCTCTACAGACATTCATCCCCAACACCCAAGTCTTAAAGAAAAGTGCAAAAAGCACAACTAAAGCTGTGCGCTCTTCCACAAATTCAACAAATTCCCTGAAGACGAAGAACAATAAGCACATCCAAAGTCGTGCCGTTCTTCCTCGTGATTCAACAAGTTTAAAGAATCACCAAACAGTACTATTCAAGATCAAGCTTCGTCAGCCCTCGATAAAAAATCATTGGCAGTCTTCCTTAACTACAAATACTTGAAGAAGATTGTCAATAGCACAATTCAAAATCAAGTTCCAATAGCCCTTGGATCCAATCAACAAAGGAGATCGAACCAGAGAATATTTTCTTTCTTTTGTAAAGAATATCTTAAAGGATTGTACTCATCAATTTTCATAAATCAATAAATTATTATTTGTTTCCTATTTCGTTCTTCATTTGTAGATACGAAATTTATGTGTATAAATTTTTGGCATGCCCGGTGGGACATCCTCTGTCTTTCATCTCTTTCTCCTACATCAAATCTTCAACAATTTTTCATCATCAGAATTTATGGCTTCCGACAAGACTCAGGCTAAAAGCAAAAATACCCACAAGGACACCGCAGTCATTGTGAAAAAAGGTGATAAAGAAGGTTGCAACTCTATCAAGTGGTGTCAACTTCTCTACAAATCCAATGATGTGGAGCATAACCAAAACATCTGTTCCCGCCGAAAGGCAACATGATGCGATAAGAGTCAATTACGTCATATCCATCAAAGCAACAAATCAAACTCATAACATTTTTGCCTCTCTAGGGGCAAGGAATACGATTTATACTAACTAAGAGGTTCAACTTACCACAGAAAAATTATTGTCAAAGTGTATCTTTGATCATCCTTTGAAAGCCTTCTCAAAAATATTTACCATACTAGCAACAATGAAGGAAGAGAGTCTAAGACTACGTGACCCACGAGTCAACACTTTTGGGTCTCCCATTTTTATAATTCTCACCCAATAATAGATGTAAGTATTTATAGTCATAATTCATAAACACCAAAACCGTAAAAAAAAATTAATATCTTGAATTGTAAATAAACTCCAACAAAAATTTTATTAAATGAAATAAAACTCCAATAAAAAAAAAATCTAATTAAGATTTCACACACAATATCCAAAAGTTCAAGATTTTTTATTTTAACAAAGTAATTATGTCTTGCATAAAAAATAAAAAAAATACAAAAATAAATCAAAAAATTAGTATCATATTTTGATATATATATATATATATATATATTTCCAATAATTCTCTCAATCATTATCTTGAGTAACAGCAGCCTCAAATATCTTGACAGACAACCTCCAAAGCTTCCAATCCCAACACTAGCGTTACAAGAGCTGGCTCAGTAATGACCAGCGACTTTCCTTGTTACACAAACTCGTCACTCTCTCTCTCTCGCCACAGAGTTAAAAGGGTTTGACCAATTAATTTAGCTTCTTGTCCTTTTGTGAAAGTTGAAATTAATTTTCAAACATTTAATAATATTAAAATAAAAATGTGTCAATTATTAAATACAATATACAAAGAAACTTAGAAGTCTGGCACTCTATTATTAATAAAGTAATAACGGACTGTATTTCACACACAATATCCAAAAATTCAAGATTTTTATTTTAACAAAGTGAATATGTCTTGCATAAAAACAAAAAAAAAAATCAAAAAATTAGTATCATATTTTGATATATATATATATATATATATTTCCAATAATTCTCTCAATCATTATCTTGAGTAGCAACAGCCTCTAATATCTTGACAGACAACCTCCAAAGCTTCCAATCCCAACACTAACGTTACAAGAGCTGCCTCATTAATGACCAGCGACTTTCCTTGGTACACAAACTCGTCACCCTCTCTCTCTCTCGCCGGAGTTAAAAGGGTTTGACCAATTAATTTAGCTTCTTGTCCTTTTGTGAAAGTTGAAATTAATTTTCAAACATTTGATAATATTAAAATAACAATGTGTCAATTATTAAATACAATATACAAAGAAACTTAGAAGTCTGGCTCTCTATTATTAATAAAGTAATAACGGACTGTATTTCATTCAACACCCATTTAATAATATTAAAATAACAATGCATTAATTATCAAAAATCAACCAAGAAAATTAGAAGTTGGCTCTATTAATAGTATTAAAATAATACTGTACTTATTAATTATTAAATCTAGAAAGAAAATAAATTAAAATTTATCTCTTTCTCTCTCACACATGGTTGAAAAGGTTTGACCAATTAATTAATGGTACCATTAAGCTTCTTGTCCTTTGGTGGTGTTGAAATTAATTTTCACGCATTTAAAAATATTAAAATAATAATGTTATTATTAAGAAAATTAGAAGTTGGTGAAAACAACGGGTCCAGCTGTAATCTTCAGTTAGGGAGTCAGTCTCCCCTTAGAAAGAGAGAGAGAGAGTGTGTTGAGAGAGAGAGAGAGAGAGAGAGAGAGAGCTGCCCCTCATGTTTTGAAGTTGCTGTAGCTCTAACTTCTAAGCTCTATTTGCTGTTGTTTCTTGTTTGCATTTGCAGGGTAAAAGACAACAAAATGGTCTTCTTTGCTTTTGGGGATTTTTGATATATATATATATATATATATATATATTGGATCAGATATGAAATTGTATCTTATAGAGATTCGATCTGTGTATCTGAGGCAAATTCAACGTTGAATTTGATTCTGGGTGTGGCCAGAAATTTGTGTTTGAAACTGACTTCGCAAGATGGACCAAGCCGTTGAACAGTCTGCAAATGTACAGCGGAACTTTCGAGTTCAAGCCCCGCTGGTACGGCCCATGATCTTTGACCTTTTTTTTGCTTTTAGTTTCTTCAATTCATGCCTTCCTAAAGATGATAAATGTGCAAGGAAATTTTTCTGTATACGAAATTCTTGATTATGTGTGTGTATATATATATATATATATTGGTTTTCTTGCATCATAGTTTTTGGGGTTTTTGTTCTCTTGTTCTCTAGAGTTTCTGAAGATACTCGAATGAAATTCTTTATCTAATGCAGTCTTTGACAAAAATTTATGGAATTTCGTGAGTTTGCATTCTAACTGTTTGGTTCTAATTCTTCTGCAAGTGAGCGCAGTATGTTGTTTTGGGGTTCTTGCGTTTGGTTTTGAACTGCCTGCTACATTTTGTTTATGCTGCTATGTAAATTGGGGATTTGATTTGCTATCTAGTAACAACTAAACTGAAGCCTTGGATCTGTTGTTTTTAATCTTGGGGAGGTTTCATTTTTTTTTTTTTTCTACGATGAATTTAGAAAGACAATATTTTACTTGCTTCCACAGCATAAATTGGGCAAGTTAATGCTGGTTCCTTGTCTTGAATATGCCTTAGTCAGTAGTTTTTGTGCCTTTTCTAGTGAAAATTGAGAAAGTTTAGGACCTTTAGAGATTATTGATTCTGTAGGTGTTTCGTATGATTGGGTGTAGAGGACACAGTTCCTTTATCATTTGTATAGCTAAAATATCTACACTATATAATTTGGGTCTTAGATTGCCTTGGGTGTGAATTCTACTGCGTAACCAAAATTTTAGTTTGTAGCCGTCCATAAGTATTTAGGAAAATTAGCACTCTGAATCACCTATATCAATGAATCTCATCTTGTTTCTCATCGAATAATGGTGCTATTCGAGTAGGACATCTATTATGTACTGGAGGCCTTATTTTCCTCTTCCTTTCTTTCTCTGACTGCTTTAGATGTTTGTGAATAAAATGAGAAATACATGATCCTACACACAAGGATTAATTAGATGATTTTTGTTTATATTCAGTGTAATCTTATACCAAGTGTTGACTGATGTGATCATTGTAGCCATTTGATTGAATGTGGTGTTGTGTGAGTGGTAAAAAGTGAAGTGGTTGGATTATTTTCCATAGAAAAAACAAAGTGTGTTGTATCAACATGCCTAATCTATAAATGTGGTGCCGCTCTAACGTAATAGGCCTTACAGTAATTCCCACCCCACGAGATTCTTGTCCTGCCATAAGACAGTTGGAGGATAAATTTGGCTTTACTAGTTCACCTCGTAGTTAGTAAAATATATAAATCTAAGAGTTTGGTTATGTACGAGTATAATTCGATTTTTTGTTGAAAAAATGAAAAAAACTTTTGATAGAAAGAGGGAAATGGAAAAATATGAATAAGTATATGTTTGGATATAATGTATTCTAATTAAAAGTTTCGGAGCAAATATTTGACTATACATATATTCTTTTTTCTAATGTTATTTTCATGCAATTTTTGGATAGTCTAACCATTATCAGGAAATTAATTGTGTTTAAATTTCTCCATACAACATATATAATAAAAGAAAGATAAGATAGGAAATAATGGTGTAGTAAATATAACATTGTGCATGGTTATCTATAACCACCCTCACCCTACCCGACATAATATTGTTCGCTTTTGGCTCACCTGGACCAGACTTCAGAGGAGGTCATCCATCTTGGTACTACTCCTGCATAAGGACGCTTAACTTCGGAGTTCTGATGGGATCATGGCCATTACGGCGTTAAAACGCGTTGTGTTATAAAAGGGTGTTGAACCCATATATAGCATTTCACCTCACCTTTTCCAGGTGATGTGGGATCAAGACACCCGTAGTCTGCTAGTGTGGTAGCTTGCCCAGTGTCTTACACCCGTCCACATCATACCCGCCCATAGAGGTCGTTACAATCACCCTCCAATGGGGACCAACGCCCTCGTTGGCTGCACTTCCGGTTGGGTTCCTACTATGATACCATTTGTAACAGCCCTCACCTTACCCGACACAATATTGTCCGCCCGTAACCTGCCAGTGTGGTAGCTCGCCCAGTATCTCGCGCCCACCCACATCACACCCGCCTACAGAGGTCGTCACAATCACCCCCTAATAGGGCCCAACTTCCTTGTTGGCCACACTTCTGGTTAGGCTCCGACTCTAATACCATTTGTAACAGCCCTCACCGTACCAAACACAATATTGTCCGCTTTTGGCTCCCTCAGACCAAACTTCCCAAGAGGTCACACATCCTGGCACTACTCCTGCAGAAGCATGCTTAACTGCTGAGTTTTGATGGGTTCATAGTCATCATGGCTTTAAAACACGTTGTATGATAGAGGGGTGTTGAAACTACATATGGCACTTCACCTTCACCTTCCCCAAGCAATGTAGGATCATGATTGCTACTGTCAGCGTGGTAGCTCACCCAGTGTGTTGCACCCGCCCACAGAGGTCGTCACATTATCAATGTTGAAAGTATAGTCCAGCAACAAGCAAGATTATTTTGCATTAATTGACTCAAGCCAATAAATATATATATTTTTTATCTTAACAAATCATGTCATACATCAAGAATAAAAATGAAAAAAAACAGGCAAGATTGTTTAGCATCGACTGACATAAGCCAATAATTTTTTTTTTTGCAATTATCTTTACAAATTCATAAAAAAAAAAAAAAAAAAAAAAAAAAAAAAAAAAAAGGTCAGCCTAGTGCACGAGGCTTCTGCCATTGTGTGGTTTGGAGAGGGTCAGATGTATGCAGATTTACCTCCGCATGTAGGGAGGTTGTTTCCCGTTTTGAATCCATGACTGTCGGGCCACAATGGGGAGAGCTTTATTGATGTGCCAAAGCCCACCCTTATCTTAATCTGTGATGCATGATGCGATAAATAAAAAAGGGCAAATTACTCTGACCTTCGCTAAGATTTGTTTAAATTACCCAATTAAACATCATAGTATCTACATACAATGTACATTGGTTAAATATATGTGATCGGATTAGTTCACCCACATATATATGCTAGTAGAAAGCACGTGCGATGCACATGGGAACCTCTAAAATAATTATCATAAGAAAGAAATAATGTATTCCGAAGAAAGTGAATTTATAAATATATTTTTAATATTTATTCATTTTAACTTACTTTCATATTTGTTACCAACCAAATTTAAGTCTCAAAGTGACTAAATTCAACAATTGAAAAATAATGAAAAATATATGAGAGAGGTTGATAGTTGAGTAGTATAGAGATTACTATATTTGACACTATTAAATAACAATAGTACAAAATCTGTAAGTTGTAATAATTGAATTTTGAGCAATTGCATATTAGCATTCAAGCTCGAAAATGAACATTGGTCGGTACCAATTTTTATTATCAGAAGACTCCTTAATACTACTATTAAAAACTATATATAAAAAAAAGGTATACAGTATAAAATAATATTAAAAACTATTAAAAAAAAAAGTCTATAAAATAATAAATAAATTAGATTAGATAGGTAGATATATAATTATATGTATATTTATATAACTCATCGAATGTTATGATAATAAATATGTGTATGTGCAAACAGTACATAATACACTATTTGGCAGGCTATTCCACTTTTTAATAATTAGATTGCAGAAGTGCAGAAACAGCGAGTGTTTTAAATTCATAAACATGATTTCTAGTATTAATTTATAGGATTATAAAGTGGATTGCATTTGTGATTCTTAGATTAGTATTATAATAATAGTGATATAATTTATAAATTATAGGTTGTTTAATTAGAGTATAGTTAATATAGAATTCGTCTAGGAATCTATTGGCATAGGAATTTTAATATAACTAAATGATTTGAAATACTTTGTACTTTTAATAATAGTATAGATACACACATAATATATATATGTATATATATGTGTGTTTGTGTGTGTATATTTATGTTCAATGACACGAGTTTGGAGTTGGGTTCAATGATGAGTGATTTCACAAGGATTGAGTTTGGAGTTGAATATGAGTTTGGAGTAAGGGTTCATGGTGACTATGGATGAATTTTTTTTTGTTTTTGATAAGCGACTATGGATGGAATTTACAATGATGTTTTGATGCTTGGTGTCAAGGGAGAGGCTGGTGTCGGAGATGAGAGTTGGCAATCTTGTGGAAGTGAAGATGCCGCTTGATTGCAATTCTTGCCTCTCCAAGTACTCCACATTCGGTTGCCTCAACTCTCCTCTACACTTCACTGCCACTAGAGGCCACAGTGAGGTTTCTATTTTCATGTTCTATTAACCCTCACAAACCCATTAATTGTAATATATTTGATTGTATGCACTTGATCCAATATGTCTATATATAATTTTGGTGAATAAATTGTTGCATTTTTGCTTGACAATGGAGCTGATGTGAATTCCAGAAATTACTCATGGGGTTGTTTTCCCTTCCAGTTCCACTAGTGACCTAGCGGTGGTGTTGAACTGGGTCTGTGTAGTGCGTATGTATATAATGTATTTTTTGTTTATATATACATAGAATATGTGAAACAGATCACAGATCGGATACCTTGTGAGAAGTGGCTTTTGAGCAATTTTTAGTGGTAAAGTATTGATTAGGGATGGTGATGTTGGAGAGAGAGATGGGGGCTGGGGGGCTGGTGGTTGTGGAGAGGGGGAAAGAGGGTGCAGCGGTGGTGGTGGAGAGGACGGATGGTGGTGGGTAAAGATATGAATATTGCTCAACTAATATAAGAGACTAAATTAGTAAAACCAATATATTCTACTTACATCTTCAATGACGACAGATGACAAACTCAAATCTTGTACCAAGATGAGGGTAGTTTGATACTTTAATAAGTTCACATTTCTTGGTAACTATTTTAACGTGTCTTTACTCTGACATGTCCAAATTATTTTTCAAGAAGTTTAATCCGAGGGTAATTTAGGCAAGCCTCGGGGGAGGTTGGGGAAATTTGCCCATACCAAAAAAAAGTTAAGTGTAGGTAAAAAATATTACAGTAAATTAAAATAGTAGAATAGAAGAAGTGTTACACAAGTGCTAATTAGACACATGCAAGGATATCCCATTTAATTTTTTGAGATAGTAGAAAACAAGGGGGAGAGAGAGGGACTTTATTTAGTTTTAGGCTTTATTATATATAGATATATGTATGAGGGCTGTTATTTGGTTCAGTGGTTTAACGCTTGAGTATTAGTGCCATTGATGCTAGTTCGAATCTTGGAGCAGCCACTCTGTGAAATACCAATTTTAGGTCTGTTTCGAGTCCTCCCTTCCTATGACCCCATTGGAGTGGGACCAAAATTGGATAATGTTCTTATGTATGTGTGTGTGTGTGTGTGTACTAAGCATGGTGATCGGAGTGCCTTGATGGAGATGGAGATGCTCTTTGATAAATTCAGTGTGTGGTAGCTAGGCTATTAGTGGTGGGAGGCTATGGATTGTTGACATCCTCCATACACTAACAGATTTTGGTCATTGAGTAACGGAGCGTGCCCCCACCTCTTTTCGGAGTGTGACTAATTCCTTCGGATACCTGCGATCATCCCCAAACCAGGGTATCGAGTAAGCACAGGCATGCCTAGAGGCCTTATGACAATCCAGCTACCCCATGGGGTAGCTTTTAGGTGTGTCCATATATTTTGGTTTGTATAATACATTAATATGTGTAACATATAACAACCGATATATACGATTATGTTAGAAAGTTGTGCCTTTTGCCGTATATTTGGCTTCCAAAAGGCATATGTGTTATATATATATATATATATTTAAAATTATTGTGTGACATTTCATAAGCATATTATAAGCGAATAAACTTCTTCTTTCTTTCTTTTTTCATAGTTTATAAGCGAATTAACTAACTAATTTTTAGCCATTAGAGTGATTTACTATTTACTTCTGTGAGAGGAAATAACTAACCAGCCAAAATGCATGCCAAAGTATGAATTCTGATGCAAATAACTCTGCTTCACTCATTAGAAGAAAAAGTAAAGGGAAATTTTTAGCCTTAAAAATCCATGACAAATTGTTGAGCCTATCGCATCCTCGAATTCGATGAATACAAATGATGGAGTTGCAGTCTCATTGCTTTTGATGATTTAGCTAGGTATGCATAAGTTTCATAGAGAATTCTATTATTGCATTTGGACAAGTAAAAAAGGAAAGAGAAGGGAAAGATAGAATTCCTTGGTAGAGACGAAGGAATGAATAGTTTTGATCCCTTGTCTGGTTTGTAATGGGTGCCCATATATACACACAATTTGTCATAGTTGTTTTCACTTGTGTCTATAATACTTCTGGTATGTAAATAATGATGAATTCTTCATTCCATCATGGGAAATTTTGCAGGTTGATTCTGTATCATGCTATTGCAAAGTAGACTCGGGCCTAAAAACAGTTGCTGGGGCCAGGAAATTTGTTCCAGGATCAAAAATTTGCATCCAGCCTGATATCAATCCTCGTGCGCACAAGAGTAAGAACTCCCGAAGAGAGAGGACTAGATATCAGCCACCCCTTCTGCCTGGTCTTCCTGATGATCTTGCCATTGCTTGTCTAATCCGAGTCCCTCGTGTCGAACATAATAAGCTTCGTCTAGTTTGCAAGAGATGGTATCGCCTTCTGGCTGGAAACTTCTTTTATTCTCTTAGGAGGAGTCTTGGAATGGCAGAAGAGTGGGTTTACGTCATCAAAAGAGACCGCGATGGAAGAATTTCATGGCATGCTTTTGATCCCACCTACCAGCTCTGGCAGCCACTTCCTCCTGTTCCTGGAGAATATAGTGCAGCCCTCGGATTTGGATGTGCTGTTCTGAGTGGTTGCCACCTCTACTTATTTGGAGGAAAAGATCCACTGAAGGGGTCTATGAGGCGGGTCATTTTCTACAGTGCTCGGACAAATAAATGGCACAGGGCACCAGACATGCTTCGGAAACGTCATTTCTTTGGTTCTTGTGTCATAAATAATTGCCTTTATGTGGCTGGTGGAGAATGTGAAGGAATCCAGAGAACTCTCCGTTCAGCTGAAGTTTATGACCCCAACAAGAATCGTTGGAGTTTTATAGCAGATATGAGCACAGCTATGGTGCCCTTTATTGGGGTAGTTTATAATGGTAAGTGGTTCCTAAAAGGACTTGGGTCCCACCGAGAGGTCCTGAGCGAAGCCTATAGCCCTGAAACAAATGCCTGGGCACCAATCAGTGATGGGATGATTGCTGGTTGGCGCAATCCGAGCATCTCTATGGATGGAAAGCTCTATGCATTGGATTGCCGTGATGGGTGCAAGCTTAGGGTCTATGATGAAGCTACAAATTCGTGGAACAGATTTATAGATAGCAAATTCCATTTAGGGAGCTCTCGTGCTCTGGAGGCTGCTGCTCTTGTTCCCCTTAATGGGAAGCTTTGCATCATCCGTAACAACATGAGCATTAGTCTGGTTGATGTCTCGAGTCCTGATAAGCAAGTGGAGAGTAACCCTCACCTTTGGGAAAATATTGCCGGGAGAGGTCACTTCAGAACTATTTTCACAAATTTATGGTCAAGCATAGCTGGCCGAAGTAGATTGAAAAGTCACATTGTACATTGTCAGGTGCTTCAAGCATGAGAACTGGCAGCTATGCTTATGCAACAAATTGCTTCATCATCTTCATTCTGTCAGGCAGTATCATTACATTCTGAAAGCTACATCAGTTGCAGTTCATAAGCATTATGTTTCTGCACTTCTGGACCAAACAATTGCATTTATTCTCTTCTGATTTTTCGATCCTTGTATATCTCGTGGTGATGAATCAACATTGATCTGCTGCAGGAGTGCAGTATAGTTCTCAGTTTCTCCCATTACAAAAGGTTTTGCCGATGATGAGAGACTTGAAGAAATTGAAAGTGGAAAGAAATTGTGGGTGTCTAAAAAATCAACGCGAAAGATGAAAAACTCCGGTGAAACTCTCCATTGGCAGCCCCTTGTATGAAGTTTGATCCGGGAACTGAAGTCATTTTCTTAGTTCAGATATCAAACATGCATATAAGGTGAGGGTGATTTACTGTTGTTTTTGGCACAAGAATTGCAAGGCCATTTCTTTGCATTCATGAAGAGAGATAGAGATCAGATAGCTTTTTGAACTTGTAAATCTTTGTCATTTGGATGTAGGGTGTGTGTGTGTGTGTCCTTGCTTGTGGGATCTTAATCTTGTAGTATGTAGTTTTGGAGGTGTTCTGTGAATATACATGATGGGTTATCAAATATAATGCTACTTCTAATCAAATAATGACTTTTCTTATTTTATTATTTACAACTGCCAAGCCCGGGCGTTCGTAATTATTCTTTAGAGGCTGAAACAGCACAATTTGCTAGTTTTTTTTATGAGCAATTCTTTTTGACCATTCTTGTTGAATTCAATCACTGTTAGAGATAGCTCACTACTTAATTCTACTGGATTATGTCTTGTTTGATAATTCAATTTAGCGCTTAATTCAGAACAGGTTAAGCGCTTATCCAATTAAGCGTATTTGATAACGCAATTTTATTAGCACCGAAAACGGTAAATATCACTTAAAATGGGATAAATTTTTAAATGATAGGATTATCACTCAACACTAAATTTTAAAAATATTAAAAGTATTAATTTATTTATTATTACTTAAAAATTTCAGCGCTTAAAATTCAGGTTTTAAAATTTGAAGTACTTATTTTTCAGTTTTATCAAACAACACCAAGTGTTTAATTAAATTAAACAAGTGTGTTTGACGATAACACAATTTGAATATCATCATTGGATAAAATTAAGTACTATTGAGTTAAAATTTTAAATGACAAACATTTCACTTATCACTCTGTGTTTGCTCAATAATTAAAATTTTAAAAAATATACAATAAAAAAAAAATCTCAATTTACAAATACCACTTAAAATTTTAACAAATTTTCAATACTTGATTTTCAGTTTTATCAATTAATAAAAAATCATAATAATAATAATAAAAAGCATAAACTGATAAGCACAAGGGCACCTAGATAACCAATTTTTTTCAAATACACTTGAGCCTTTATAGCCAAAGTGTTACATGATATGTATCATGGCTTAATCATAATGTTGTGTAGAGAAATAACATAAAGTACATAATGATGAGATATGATAACCACTTTGTGGGGTTGGGAACTTGTCTAAACATCATGCATATGGTAAGAGATGTGAAACAGCAGAGCCAATATGATTCCCCAAGCAATCTCAACACCTAACCTTCTCTTTCCACTTCCACCACTGCTATTTAACTCTGCACTTGTTCCATTCTGGGTAGAATTCCCTTTAACAAATATCACAAGAAATAAATATATATATATATATATATATATATATATATATATATAAATTCCAACAAAGAGATGTCAAATACTCAGAAAATACAATATCATTACTATATATCATTGTTTCCGGTTGCGGTATCCTTGCGGTCACAGTATAACGGACTCGGGCGAATATCAATATAAACCAGGCGAACCAACTGATTCATAAAGATGTGTAAAGATATTGAACCCTTAAAAAAGGGTTACGAACCGGCCGATATGGATACGGTGAACCATGTTATATATGCAATACTATATATGTATATATATGTTTGTTTGGACGTAAAATATTTTTTTCGAAAAAATATTTCTATATAAAATTATTATTTTTGTTAAATTTTGATAAAATATTTTACTAAGTAAATATTTTACTTAAATTTTGAACAACCAAATATCATAAAATAAAAAATATATATATTTTCTAAAATAAAAATATTTTACATCCAAACAAACAAACGTAAGCAATATGAATTGTAAGATTTTGTTACCATTAGCAGCTGGGACACTATTGCTCCCTTTGGTGCTGTTTGTAAATTCCTCAAAGACCTTCGCATCTGGTGAGTTAGGTGCCAAATGCAAGAGTGCTGGAACCATTACCATAACCAATCAAATGATCAGCTATAAAGAAACACCATTAAATTTGAGAGCATGATAATGTATTTAAATCATTCATTCATTCATACACACACATATTTATTGGAAAGGGCGGAATCGAAATATAGTGTCAAACAAGTAAGTGATGATAAATAAAGATAAACTAGTGGCATTCTTTGCGACAAAAGAATCACAAACAAGTTAAAAGAGAAAACTATGTAGGTTAAGAGAAAAATTAGGAGTGACGCTCATTAGTAAAAAAAATAAAAAAGATTTAGATGGTATGGACGTATACAAAGAAGATCAAGAAGTGGTAGATTAGTTGGACTAGAAGTTAAGAAACAAATAGGAAGAGGACCAAAATTATTGTGGAATGAGACTATTAGATACGATTTTTATGAGTGAGAGATGAGTGGTAATAATAATTACTTTTTCATTTATATGAGATTAAGACAAAAATAATGATCATAAATAAAATTCTACCGTGCGTGATACGATTTTTTTTTATTATGTTCGTACTTACAAGGGCACTCGGACACATTAGACGGTGCATGACAGGTGGTGGGAAGGCCCAAGGCAAGTGTGGCATTGATCTTGAGGCCAAGGCTGGGATCATTTCGATCCTTGACCAAGACACAGAGGCACTTCTTGCTATTCTGCAGGACTTGTTTGATGCCAGTGCAGCAGTCCAGTGTGGGAGCTTTCGAATCCCCGCCAACGTAGGGCAGACACGTGGTGAGCCCCACCAGCTGGTCTGCACATTCTTCTCTGTCTTTGGCTATGTCTGAGTTTGCAAAACCAACCAACACCATCAATAACATGCATGAGTACATTGCCTGCAGAGACATATGTTTTGAGTCCATTGCAGAAATGGAGAGAGAGAGAGAGAGAGAGAGAGAGAGAGAGGGGATATATGGTTATTAAGAGATGCTTACCTGCCTTTTATGCTTTACTTGTAACATTTTCTAATGAAATTAATATTTTGGCATATGATTTTACCCTTAAGTCAATCTAAAGAGTTCACATGTGAAGGGTAGGTTTGTCCTTTAGATAAGATGGTAATTTGGGGAGCGTGTACAAATTGCATTTTGACCCCCACCAAACCAAAAATCATAACTAAGAGTGTGCGTATAATAAATGGATCACAACCCACCAAACTAGAAGTCATGACTACCTCAACTAATGGCCTCACTCTCATTTGCTTAGTTGTCAAATTAAAGGTTACTATCAAATTAAAATGATTAAATTTGTTGTACTTTTTCTTTCCTTTTTCGAAGGTAAAGCAGCAGCGAGACACTTATGTCTAGAATTCTTGATCTCTTTTAAGTAAGAGTTTAATACTGTTGGGTTATTGGACCGTTGATAAATTTGTGATACTATTATTGTTCATTTCTATTTAATTTATGTTGTCGATGTGAGGGCAAATTTTGGCGCAACAGTGAGATCACTTCATTGTAAAAAGGATGTCACGGGTTGGAAATGAATATTGTCTCTCTAAAAGCGGATGTAATTCTGTGTACATGCATCTAATCCTTCTCATATCCCGCAGTGATTAGAGTGTTGTGCACTCAACTATCTTCTTTTAATTTTAGTTCCGCAAGGGTGAGATTACTCCATTATATATCATGCATTGACGAAAACTCCACTGAATCATTTTGTTTTAATTTTTGTTAGACTAAATTTAAGATAGGAAAATAATTTAGAATTCAAAAATCAGACAAGTCCTAATTTAAATAAGTCAAGTCTGACATGATGATATCAATTCTTATTTATATAAAATTAATTGAATTTTTTTTTTAGAGTACGGAACTCTCTATCATCACTCTTCAAGATAGATCTAAGAGACAATTTGTCCTTTTTTGCAAGGTGTTATGCAACATCACCCCCGAGAGAGAGAGAGAGAGAGAGAGAGTTACAAAAAAAATTATTTGAATCGGCAACCCGTGATTGAGTGAGGTTAGAGCGCGCACTTGGTCGGCAAATGGCAACCCGTGATAGTTTGGATTTCTCCGTGATTATATAGGAATTCGTGAATACGTAGTATATATAGAGCCAGAGAGAGTTTGTCACAGTGCAACGTGTATTGTGTGTGATTTGTGCACGAAGACGGAGAATAATGAATATTTAAATGTCCTTGAATTTATTATGTTGAAAAAAAAAGAGTCATAGAGGAGCTTTCTGGACTCCTATTTTTAGTAATCAAGATTACACTTTCTTCCCACTTTAATGCTATATATATACATACATATATATATATATATATATACAGAATTGTTCACCTATTTCCTGATGTGCAGAAAAATATATACACACCTCAAGTGTTAACCATTAGATTCTATTGGGCAGTTAAAAAGATAGTTTATTCTTTTATATCTAACAGTTAAGATTTAATTCGTGCATAAATTCCTTACACACCAGTGAACAGGTGAACAGTCTTTTATATATATATATATATATATATATATATATATATAGTACTTTATCGCTGTATGATGCATTTGTTTTTGTATGATTATTTGTGAACCTTAAGAACCGCCTTAGTGTGGTTAAAGTATTTTGAATTTTTTTTTTTATTTTAAAACGGTGCAGTTCTTAAATTTTAGTAAATTTTTCTTATCTTAAAAGGGTGCAGTTTTCAAACTTTATTTAAATTAGTTGACATGGTTTAATACAAACAATAGATAAATTTTAAATATCACATGTCAATCGGCAGATAATTTAACTTAGGGGATCCAAGTCTCACACACATAAATAAAAATAAGGATAAAAATCATAAAATATCCACTACTTTCAAATTTTGATCATAAAATTCCAATCTATTTCAGAAAACTCTTGCACTTTTCAAAAGTGATCACATTACCATAATATTCGTATCCGACCCATTAACTGGGTTATGAAATGACAAATTTAATCTTATTATTTACTATGCCATATAATCTTCTTCTTCACCCCCACTCTCTCTCTCTCTCTCTCAAACATAATTTTTGTAATTTTAAAGAATATTTTTGTAATTTTAAAAAATAATTTTTAGTTTTTAATTTAATATTAAATAGTAAGGTTAAATTTGTCATTTCATAGCTCGGTTAACAGGTCGAATACAGATATTAAAACAATGTGATCACTTTTTAAGAGTATAAGAGTTTTTTGAAACACGTTTGAGATTTTATGATCAAAATTTGAAAGTAGTGGGGATTTTATGATGTTAATCCTAAAAATAAAAAAGAAAAGAAAGAAAAAGAAAAATCAAAATCAAAAAGACCTTGAGGTTTCATAGTTTGTGATTCTAGTATATGGTTATTGTTGTAAGGGGAATCTTGTCCCACGTCGGATTCCGGTTGAAAATTAACTGAGTATATATGGGTTGGTGTTAGCCTCGTCTAACATTTTAAGTTTTTGAGTCGAATCGTAAATCACCTATCCCCGTTATAATTAGTATCAGGTTCAGTTTTTAATTCGGTGTCATGCCAAATGTCTGGGTGTGCCATCCGAGTAGGTAGGGTGGTTCAACTACAACGAGAACGTTGTGAGTTGGACTTTTGAGTTAGATTGCAAGGCACCCGGCAAAATAGAAAGAGGATTAAATAATGTAATTAGAATTCCATAATTCATTACAGAATTAGGTGTAGATGACGTATTTATTCCACCTATAAGTTGGATTAGTACTGAAGCCCATCCGTCTCTCTCATTATTTATTCCACCTGTAAGTTAGATTAGTACTAAACCCCATCCGTCCCTCTCATTATCCGCCACACTTGAATGGACGCTCTTAAATTCACATAAATTCTTCCCCATTCACAAAGTCACATAAATTCTTAAATTTATTTTGTTAGTTCTCGAATTGATAACATTTCTCATTCCTTGAATGATAGATAAAAATATATGATATTGTTTATAAACAATAATGAGGCAAATTGTACCCAATATTAAATAAAATTTGTTTGAAAGGTACGCAATTAGGGCTTGAAGTGGAGTGAGTTCAAGGAGATCCAATTTGAAATCCATTATCATTAAGCTAAAGAAATAATGCATCGCTTGTAGGTGTTACGCATTTTTGCATGCCTATGAGATTCAGTTTTTATGGTTGCACACTTGCACAAAGTAATGGCCTTTCGCATAAATAAAAATATTAATAGCAAACAAGTGCATAAGTGTAACAACTCACTTCATCACATAATATGATATTGTCCATTTTGGGCCTGAATCCTTTACGATTTTGCTATTGGACTTTACTCCAAAAGACCTCATACCAATTCGAGATAACATTACCATATATATAAGCACTTCACATTTCCCTTATCCAGACGATGTAAGATTGTGTTTCCGTAACTCGCCTAGTGTGGTAGCCTGCCAGTGTCTTGTACCCACCCACGGCATACTCATCCACAAAGTCGCCACAATCACCCCCCGTTTGGGGCCCAACATTCTCGTTGGATACACTTCCAGATAGGTCAGGTTTTGATACCATTTATAACGACCCACTCCACCACATGATATGATATTATCCACTTTAGACTCTAGCCTGCACGGTTTTACTCTTGAATTTTACCTTATAAGGTCTCATACTAATGGGAGGCGCTCTCACTCTAACTAAATTTTAGAAAATTTGATTTTTAGGCTTCAACCATGTGACCCTGATCTAAGAATGTGTGTGAAAGAGAAACCACCAAGGCTGTATAGTCTAGTAATACTTTCGCCTTGCTCCGTTTGTTTGGATATAAAATATTTTTTTGAAAATATTTTTTTATTTTTTGGTATTTGGTTGTCGTAAAATATTTACGAAGGAAAAATATATTAAAATTTTACAAAAATAATTTATCCATCAATTTTTGGTAAGTTATTTTATATGTCCTGCCCGAAGGATTCGACCTCAACCTCGACCTAAACATTTGCCGAACACCGAAAAGTGCAAATGAAAAAAATATTTTACCTAAAAAATGAAAATATTTTCTGAAAAAAATATTGTACGTCGAAACAAACGGAGAAGTACAAAATTTAGAGTTTTAAGTTTTCACAGAGATAAAATGCATGTGTGCATGGGAATAAAATAAAATAATAATAATAATAATAATAAGGTAATAGAGGGTTGGGGTGGTAGGGCGGGTGCCCGATGGGGTTTAATGATTTACGTATCAATTTAAAAAGTAGATATTCGATGTGCTCGGTACACTGGGCACATCAGAGTCTTACGTGTTGTATATGCACAAACATGTGAATGGCTGCGAATTAAGAACGTACTGCTCAAAAGTGAAACAGAATAAACAGCTAACAACTCATTGAATACGGATTTGACTAGTTAATTAATCCTTAGATTCTCATTAATTAATAGGTCCCAAATGGGAAAAAGAAAAGGAAAATTGAGGAGAAAGTTAATGGGTAAAGTGTAAGAAACCAATGCAATATAAAAAGGGCTAAAATTTGAAAACCCCCCGGTTATTTATCGAAACTATTTACTAACCCCCTCGAGTATTAAAAAAACCCCCTGATATAACATAAACTATCACATTGCCTCCATTCCGTCACAGAACCGTTAAATTCCTGCAAAATGACAAGAATACCCTTAATAGTATATTAATATTTATTGAAATATAATTATAGTAATTACATATATAATTATATACATAATTACTACTATAATTATATATAATTACTATAATTATAATTACCATAATTATAATTATAGTAATTAGGTAATTATAATTATAGTAATTACCTAATTCATTTCAGTTATTTGATTTTGATAAAGAAAATATCAAAAGGAGTGACAATTTTATTCTAGATTTTCTTACTAGAGAATTCCTGTAGAATGGTAAACAGGCAACCTCCCCGCCAGACCCCCCAAGGGAAGCAAGTAATTAAACCATTTGATATTTGCCCCGGAGCCCCCCGTGGCCCTCCAGTACCCTAGGCCAA